GAATGATATTATGCGGTTGAAATTAAATTTTTATAATGTGAGATTTATATGTAAAATAAATTTGAATTATTTGATGAAAATTTTAAATAATTTTTAAGTAGTTAAATTTAAACTTGTAATATTACTGATAAACAAAACAGAATCACTTTAAACCTAACTATGCAGAGTAAACCGTGTATATGTATGTAGAGACATCTATTTATAGTTTATTCAACAAAAATAAGTTAGTAAAAAGTAATTATCTTGACAAAGCTGAGACATGAAGGCTTTTTTAAAATTTTATTTACAAATTATATTATATTTTAACTTAAAATAAATTGTTACAAATAGGATGTTAATAGATAATTGAATACATGAATGAGAGAGAGATATATTAGTCTCAACTATAAAATAATTCATAAACTCTTCAACATAATTGGGTAAAAAGTCAAAAAGTTATCTCAAACATACTAATTTTTTTTAGCTCATAGTTTAGTTAAATAACTAAAAAATTACTAAATTAACCTGTTCCTAAACGAGGCCTTAATATTCTGAAACTCAGACCGTTCAAATCTAGCCCATGTGAAACAAATATGAGTGTGGTCCTGCATGTGGTTAAATTGAAAGAAGCCCAATACAAAAATAAATTTTGAACACAATACCTTACAAAATGACGAGACTTTTTATAAATTTTTTTAAAAAAAATAAAATAAAAAACACACTTACACACACAACAATATGATTTATAATTTTAAAAATATCATTAAATCTCATTATTTTGTGTAATTTTTTTTTAATATAACGTTTTGGTTCGTGTGCCATTTTTATACATCTAATCTTTGCTTAGGTGTTATTATAGTGTAACGGTTCACCACTTTGAACCTTTTATGGGTTTTACTTCCGCAACTCAATGTGTGTTTTTTTTTTTAATTTATTATTTATTTATTTTAACAATAGTCAATGTGTTTGTTTACCAAGATGTAGAGAGTCAATGCCACTGCCAATGCCAATATTATTAAGATATGTAATTTTAGGCATTATTTCAGTGAGCATTTGTAGAACAGAAAGAGAAAGCCCATAAAGCATAGGAAAAATATTTTTAATCTTTTTACCGAATTGATTTTCAACTTCAAGAAGGAATTCTTTAAATTTTTCAAAAGCATCACTTTTATTTTTCAACAAGTATACATAAGTGTATTTTGAAAAATCATCAATAAAAGTGATAAAATATCTATTTCCACCACGTGTTAAAATTCCTTCAAATTCACATAAATCAGTATGAATTAATTCTAACAATTCAGTTGTTCTCAACACACTTTTATGTAGCCTTTTAGTAATTTTTGCTTGACTGCAAACTTCACATTTCTCAAACTTATTTGTTAGTCTAAGAATTAATCCTAAACTGCTCATGAATCCCACATATCGATTATTAATATGACACAAACGAACATGCAAAAAATTCATAGAAGACAGCATGTAAACAGCAACATGTACTTTCTTATTCTCAATATTTAATTTAAACATTCCATCACAGGTATACCCTTTCCCCACAAATATGCCTTTTTTAGTGATTACATATTGGTCAGATTCAATAGTCTGCTTGAAACCAGCTTTGTTGAGCAAAGTAACTTGACATCAAATTTTTCCTCATAGACGGTGTGTACAACACATCTTTCAAAACAAGCACACGTCCAGTGGTAAATTTCAGCTCAACAACCCCACAGCCAAGCACCTCGGTTAAACTGGAGTCACCAAGCATAACAGTTCTCTCCTCATTAAAAGAAGTAAAATCTTGGAACCAATCTTTATCATAGTAGACATGCGTATTGGCACCAAAGTCTGCCCACCACCCTTCTATAGATTGAACCATAAAAATATCTGTAATCATAGCCACAAATGGTTCCTCAGTAACATTATTCTGTGGTCAAGAATGTTGTTTCCAAAATTTGCAAGTTCGAGCAATATGCCTACTTTTGCCACACACAAAACATGTCACACTTGTTAGATCTTTGTGAAGGGGGTTCTTGGTTCCATTTCTTTTGCCTCGGGTAATTTTTATTTTGTGGCCTTCTAGTATTTTTCCAGATTTTCTTAACTGGCTTCAAGTGACTATTTTTATGAAATCGACCTTTAGGTAAAGTATTTTTAGAAGTTAAATTCACCTTTGCAGTGGAATGCTCTTGTGTCATAAGCGCATCTTGTCCTCGTGCTTCCTCCTCCACCTGAATCCATGTAATTAGAGTCTCCAAGGATGTCTCTTTTTGCTTGTGACACATTGACTTTTGAAACTCCCTCCAAGATGATAGTAGTTTGTCAATAATACCTGCCACAACAAGATTGTCTCCAATTTTGATGCCTTTGGATCTAACTTCAGCCACTAGCATCTGAAAATCTTGAACTTGCTCCACTACTGATTTTTCATCTATCATCTGATAATGGAAAAAATGACTTGTAGCATATTTTTTAGCGCCTGCCTCTTCAGTGTCATATTTATTCTGCAAGGCTTTCTAAATTTTCTTGGCAGTGGTGTAAGTAGTATCATAATAATCGTAAAATTGATCCGAAAGACAATTCAAAAGATAATACCGACATTTATACTCATCTATGTTGTATTTCTCGATTTTTTCAAGATGGGCGGCATACTTCTCTGGTCATCTCTTCAGTTGGGACTTTGTTTGGATTTTTCTCGAACATGATATAGGCCACCTTGAGGAGACTGAAGTAGAAAAGCACCTTGCCTTTCCATCTCTTGAAATGGGCTCCTTTGAACCGGAAGGATTTGTTGAGATTGCCGGTATTCTCGTTGGGCTTCTCCAATACTGGCTCCATGAATTTTACTGTTTGAATCTCCTTAAAATTGTTGGTGATAATTACAAATAAAACACCAGAGCATACAAATAATAAAAATTACAATAACTATTGTAAGGGCTGAGGCGCCGGAAATTCACTCTCTTTAAGGAGATTCAAACCCTCTGCGGTTAGGCATAACCTCACACCGGTGCAACAGAAAAAACCTTGACTTGTCCCTCCCAGGATACAACAACCCGACTAAGTCGTATGGTTTACCAATACTGTACAATTGGTTGAACCCAAAGCTTTATCACATATACCCTTTTTTATTTGCCTAATAATCTCACACAAAACATAATAAAACAACAAAACACTTCTTCTATTTTCCAAGATAAAAAGTTAGCTCAATTTCTAGGAGAGGAAACTTAGAGGGCAAGTTTTCTTGGAGACTTGGTGGATAAGAATGAAGACTTGACTTGGTTGACAAGAAGACTTGAAGAAGAAGACTTGACTTGGAGGATTCTTGGAGGAAAAGTATAGGAAGTTGCTTGGAGGATTCTTGGTCACCAAGAAAAAAGGGTAAACTTGAAGGAAAAGAAAAAAAATATTTGGAGGAAAAGAAAAAAAATCAAACCTATAACACATTATAATATTAAAATATCTGCTAACACCTTGTATATCCACGGTACTTATATCAAACTCTTGTGCCTTAGTATAGTGCTATTCATTAGGCTTTTAGCTCATCCCATTGTTGGAGACCTTTCTACTTGGACATATTTTTGTTGTGTGGTGGAGCCAATTAGATTTGTCATTGGTTTCTTGTTTCTGTAAAGGCCGTTATGAGTATTGGCCAATGGAGGTTTAAGTTTTGTATATGTAAATATTGTGCCCTGAACTTATACACTTGCTCCAATGGTTTATATAGATACTTGCTCCAATGGTAGGAATGTTTTGGAAGCGTGGAATTTTATCTTTAGTTATGGTAAAATAATGCATGCTTCTGCTAAGAATATTCTATTACTTGATTAGTCATCACCCAACTTGGTGTTATCTTGAGACCTTGGTAACCATGATTATCGGCAGGTCACGTCTCTTATTCTCGAGTTAGGGTTGAGGATGTGACATTCCCTTCTTTGACATATTAGGTTGAAAGAATGAGTAATGGTGTCTACTGTACCTCAAATCTCACACTTTCTTTTAACATTTACTTCTCGTATAGAAATTGGAAAAGAAAATTGACAATTCTTGTTCAATTGGGTTCTCAACCGAGTGATATATTTTAGAATTAGGAGTGAAGTCCCGTTTTTTGTTCTTGTATTTCATTGCTGACAGCGATGTTTAATTTTATTTAATAACAAGACCTGTTCTGTTCCCACCTGTCCCCCTCTCTTTTTTTCTCTGAAATAACTTTATTTAGCTCTTTTTTTCGTTTGACAAGTTCACCTCCAAATTTGTGCAGTTTATTTTATAAACCACTCTTGTGGTTTTTAGACTTCTGTAAATGATTTATGCTGTTTGATAAAACTAGAAGAAAGTGTAGTAGGAGTTGGAGCTGCCCATTTTTTTGATTTATTCCTCTTCCTAGGATTATTCAAGGTTGCCAATATATGTTTTGAAAGGCAAAATAAGTTGGTTTACGAAAATTAAATTTTCATTGTTAAATTTTTGTTCAATGAGAAATTGACATTCACTACAAGAAATAACACCTTTGCCGACCAAAAAATTGGTCGCTAAAAGCCCATATTTAGTCGGCAAAAGTTATGGGCGACCAATTTTTTTTGTCGCTACTTTGGTCGCCAATTGAGGGTCGAGAAAAGTAATTCGCAACCAAAATTTTTGTTGGTCGGGAAAAGTTGAATTTGCCGACTAAATTTTTCGTTGCTAAATATATCATTACTGCGACTAATCCATTTTGTCGCTAAAACAATTTGGTCGCGAAAAGTGATATTTTTCCGACCAAATATCTTAGTCGCCAATTGTCACATTCCACGACCAAACAGATTAGTCGCCAAAAGGTAAAGAATTGCCGACCAACGATTTTAGTCGCAAAAGTATAAAATTTGCCGACCAATTTTTTAGTCGCCAAATCTCTTTCTTCTTCTTTTTTTTTTTTTTGAGAACAATCAATTTTTGTTTATAAACATTCAATCCAATATCGAACAAAATTCATTCAACCCAACCACAATTAAAAAACAATAACATTTAAAAAAGAAAAAGCTTAAGAGCAATAATTAACAAATTTCCTTTCTTATAACTTCACTAAATCATCAAACAATAATTGAATTCCATTTAAAATAAAGATGAAAATATGTAACCGTAGTGCAGCACAGGGCATATTCAAGTCAAATTTAATTTAGTAAGCATGTCTTCTCAAAAGCTATATCCTCTTTGATGTCCAACATGACACAAACTTGAAGCCTTTCACCTTCTTTAATGATTTAACATATCAACTTGCTTGGCAGCTGATCCAAACTAACACATCAACTTTATGGATAATTGACCCTCCATCCTTGCATGGCCGAATGAAATAGCCACTTGGAAGCATTTCAGCTCTCACAAATTGAGCAGCAGCAGTTGCATTTGGGCTAGCACCAGAACCTGACAGAGATCTCTCATAGACCTTGAAAGATCATCACCAACTATCCCAAAAGCATAAGTTTTAGAAAACAAGTGGAACAATGTATTCAATTAAGTCCAAAAAAATTTAAATAAACAAGGCCACATGACTCACATCATCAAAAAGAGTTAATAGGTGTATCAACACATATATCATCTCCATTTGGATAGAAGTTTAAATGAATTGTAAAATTCATTGAGAAGAAGTACAAGGAATTTAAAGGAAGTAAATGAGTCATATATATATATATATATACGTGCACACTCGAATTTAAAATATACTCATGAGAACGATTCTGTCTCTTCATCGAGTTTCCTAGTGTTCAAAGTAGTGCTGCTCGAGGCAGCTTTGTTTCAGCCTGCGTTTGTTGTTTTAGCTTTGTTTCACAATATGCATCAATTCATAACTCGATACACAAATAATTTATATGAATATATATATATATCGGCAACAGTTTTTGGTTGAGAGCAAATTCAATCTCCATTTGGTTTGACAAACAAAAAATAAATAAATAAATTGATCTCAACTGGACAACTGGAAGGATAGCAACTAAACACAAAAAAAGATACATGATGGAAGCCCAAAGAATAACAAAAAGCAGCACAAGATTTCCTAAAGATACATGATGTAACGTCCATGTACACACAAAATTATACCTTTCCAGTCTTTCCAATTGTCAGAATGAGTTCAAGTTGATTTTGCTGCTGCTCCTACACAAAAGACTCCAATTAACAAATAACAAGTCAGATTGATAATAGCATTTTAGCATGCATCCAGTTCTTCTATGGCTAAAAACCAATCCATGAGTCTAAACGGTATGATATACATGATTCACACTACTAAACTTTTGGACAATTTTTGGTAATATTTCAGACCAACCTCAAAACAATGATATAATACAGACAGTATTTGGCACAGACAGAACTTGACAATAGGGTGAGATTCAAGAAACAATTGTGTTAAGTGCATATGGAGGACAAACTTTTACTTGTTCAAGTTTTGCTTAAGAAAACATGGTCGTCTGATCTAGGCATCCCTAAATGAAGCCTGAGACAGTTTACTATGATGCACATATACATCCCAAAAGAAGAACAATAAATCAAGCTTCTATTGCTTGGTACACATGCACGACTCATATCCTTGATACCAAAAGTGTACACACATGCATGTGCACAGGCACACCAAACCACCAAAGAGAAAAAAGAATAAATAATACAAGATAGGAGAGGATGACGACAAATCACACTCTGATTGTTTCGTGTGTGTGCATGAACCCATATCCTTGTCCAACTTTTGGCTGAAAATGGTAAGTGTTTCTGAGAAACATCAACTAATCCATCTACAAAACCTATAAAAGATACCTGAAAAATAATCATTGACATACTTTTTTCTTAACTCACATCTAGGCATAACCTAAATGATGCAGTGGAAAGCAATCTGGTACTTATCTACAATGGGAAAAAAGATATTGGGTGCCAATTATATGTGGATTTGGATGCATGACAATAATTTATGGTGGACCAGACATATTTTAATAAGACTGATTGTTTATAAACGTGTCTGCAGTTGCAATCACTCAATGCTCTTGGGCTGTTGGAGATCACCAAACAGGAATTACTGGAATCAAGGGTCAGTGTTAATTGCTTCGTGATTCATTTTGTTACTTGTTGCTTCAGGTTCTCTTCTTGCACGCTGCGTATATAAAAACAACTTTGCCTAGAGCGATGGATTTTAATGTGAGTTGCAGGATGTAGTAAAGGGTATGGGACTGTGGCATATGAGGTTGTGTTTTGGAGGGAGATATTATATGTTTTAGAGTAGGGGCGATGATAGGTGTTGAACGGTATCCAATCGAATACCTTAACTTTGTTTCTCTTATATGTAGGTAATATATATGTTAACCAATCAACTCCTCAAAATTTGAACACCAGCTCACATATTTTGAATAACCATTCACAATGTCATAACGTATAAAAGAAATGCAAACAACAACAAAAATAAAAATAAATGAATAAATAAATAATGAAAGAAAATTTGACAAAATTGCAGAAAACTATGAATTCCACTATGTGCTGTCATTCACTGCTTTCCAAACATTTTTAACAGAACATGGAATGTGAAATTGATTTCAGATGATAATATTTCATGAATCTAATTGTGTGTACCTCCTTGAAAGCAGAAATGCATTGGTGAAGAGCACTCTCAGCCTCTAGAGTAGGTGAATGCTCACCCTGTTTTATAAGAAAATCATAAAAATAATTTAGCCAATCATAACGTTTTAGAACCCTTATATTATTAAAAGGACTAATCAATAAAGAAGTTCCCAAAGTTGACACAATTGTGTGCATCAATAACTATTAAACACTAAATATTTTCTCCCAAAATTAATGGTCCAAAAGCCAACATATTTTTTATTCAAGAATTCAATTAAGGTGATGATGTGCCTCAATTTGGTGCTCAAAAGATGGAACCACCTAGGAGAACTAGCCAAACTTATTGACAAAGAACATTTGGAAGGTGAATGGGAAGGGAAAACAGTAAGATTAGATCCCACATGGCTGTAGATCTAAGGAAAGTTAAGTTCATGTTGCTTTTTTGATGGTGAATGATTGCAACTTTTAGCTTTAGAATCCATAAGCATTTCATGGTGAATGATTGCAACTTTTAGCTTTAGAATCCTAGTCCAAGTGAGATGAATCAGTCCAATAGTTTTATCCGTGGGAGAAAAAAATACAAACCTTATTCAAAATCTGTGATCATATAATATACATAATTATGTAGAGTACTAGAAATATGAATCAAAATTTTAGTGAAAGGTTTAAAACCTGAAACAAGAGTGTTTTACATGTTTATGAGTTCATAGCCCATGAGGTTAATCAATCTGTTGCATACTAGTGAACTAAGATCTGTTTTGGTGAGTATACAAACATATATATATATATATATATCATTTGTTTTTTTTCTTAGTGGGCTGGCTAATCAAGCTTCAATTCAATCATCATAAAGGCACTAAGTAGTAATGCAGAGTGATATCAAATTGAATGGATTGAATTAGGTGTTTCAAGTTTTTGTTTGGGCATTTCATTTTTATTAGGGATTATTAAAATTTACACTTAAGTGAATGGCCATTTAATTGCACTTAAGTCAATTAAAAGCTTAAAATTAGTTTAAGGTCATCCTATTATGAATATTTTTTTTTTTGGTATGTGAGAATTTCATTAAAAGAAACAAAGAATACAAAAATCAAGGGAGGCATACCTTTCAAATACCAAAATCAAGAAAAACACGAAGCAGCTAGACTAATGAGGAACAAAAATTCTCTTAGAAATCTACCATTTTTTACACAATAGCAGATTAGAGTAAGATTGCTTAATAGATGCAAATGAGAACTTTTAACTCTAATATCAGAATTAATCTGATTCATCAAATATGTAGACCTATGACATCCTTTGAAAGCCCATGATTTCTCTCTTGCCAGATTTAGTATACTATTGCAGCCTAAGCCATTTTCCTCACTATATGGGAAAAAAAATTCCTAGTAAATTGGTTTGCAATCCATGATATCTAATTATCCCTGGAATGTTGCGCCTTGACATTTGTAATCATTTGGTGATGACTCCTTCCATTGTAATTTATCCTAGTCACAAAATTCTTAAAAACATATTTGTGCCCGAATGTGCCATCAATAAGAAAGAAAGATTTTATTTTTATTCTGCCTAAAGCACACAATGGCGAGCTCAAAAATTCTCAGAGACCAAGAAAATTCAAAAATTTTATGTCAAACCTTGGAGCCAATGAAGTATTAGTCTCTTTGACAAATCCTCAAACAGCTTCTATGCACAAGTTTTGTATACCCAACAAAGCCATGGTCTCCATGGTCTATCAAACACAAAGTAATCATTGAACATATATATATATATATCATAGAAATCATACAGATTAACCAACTAGTAGCCTACTCTCATAATAAAACCCAAAAACTCCATGAATTTCACAATAAATAGTACACAAAAAGCAAAAGCTAACATTTTGGGAAAGCTCCATGGAGATTCAGCCATTGATATACACACAAACAAACATGTAGATACATATATGTATATATATATATATATATATAGAAATAGAAAATGAAATCAGAGTTGAGATAGCACTCTCAGCTTCTAATCTATCAGGCCTCCATCACTCAGATCATTCGCTTTTCCATATGGTCTCTCTCTCTCTCTCTCTTCTTTCTCTCTCACTCTCTTTTTTTGGGGGAAAAGAAAACAAAACAAAATTAAAAGAACACAAATCATACCTGGACTAGCGGTCACAAGTGGCAATGCAAGAAATGAGGCATCGGAACTGGTGGCGGAAGCTAAACAAGGGACAAGGTGAATGGACATTGTGGCTAGGGTTTCATTGCCGATTGGGAGTGAGAGAGTGACGAGAGAGAGAGAGAGAGAGAGCAACTCTGGCTATAGGGAGGAAGACAACATAGAGAGACACAAAGAACGAGCTAGAGACAAAGGGGAGATTAGGGCTTTTTTTATTTTTTTTTTTCTGTTTTCTTGGTACAAAACGACGTCGTTTTACAATCGGCGACCAAATTTTTTTGTCGCAAAAAAAATTCAAGTCCCGCCTCTACGTTTCAAATTTCCCTCCTAAACTTTTGGCGACCAAAAAACCAGATTAGTCGCAGAAAAGGTACCTTCGCCGACAAACTTTTTTAGTCGCCAAATCTCAATCAACGGCGACTAAAATTTTAGTCGCTAAAAGTACTAATTTGGTGACTAATTTTTTTTTTTGTTGCTGAAAAAAAGTTTTTGACGACCAAATTTTTGGTTGCCAAAGAAAAAAAAAATTTATTTTCCATTCGGCGACTAAATTGTTTTAGTAGCCATAACTCAATATACGACAATTAAAATATTTTTGGTCGGGGAAAATAAGTTTTTGGCGACTAAAATTTTGGTCGCCAATTCCACAACCAACTTATTTTTGATCTTCCGCGGCTAACTTATTTTTTGGTCGCCAAAATGTGACCTTCTGTGACGAAATTTGTAGTTGGTCGCCAAAAGCAAACCACTTTCTACGACCAACTCATATTGGTCGCCAAAAATAATGATCATTCGCGACTAATTAATATTTGGTCACCAAAAGGTAACTTTTAGCTATCAATTTTTATATTGGTCGCGGAAAGTAGTCGCTAAAAGTGCAGGTTCTTGTAGTGATTGCTGAGAATGTGCATTATTTTTGTAGAGGGATAGACTTTAATAATGGCATTTGAACAAGAGGTCCTTACCAAATGATTATATTTAATTTGTTATTGTTGTAGATTCCCCAACCCCCCCCCAAAAGTCTTGTTATGCTCAAAATAAATTTTCAGATGTTATAAACATGTAACCTTGATTAGGCCCCCCCCCCAAAGTCTTGTTATGCTCAAAATAAATTTTCAGATGTTATAAACATGTAACCTTGATTAGGTCATCTAGAAGTTTATGAATGAGCTCTTGCTCAAAGTGGCAATTCTTCCTCCTGCCAGAAACAAAACTTGACACTACTCATCCCACTTGAATTTGGTATGGAGGGTTCAATTGTGGGTTAAAGTCTCATTGGGTGCATCTGTGACCTTTTAATTAGAAGTGCTATATGAATTTGATGCCAAGCTGATAATAATATATTTTTTTAAATGATAGGATGATTAAATTGTTTGGAATTAAAAGGAAGATATTTTATGATGCTAAACTTCATTTCTTATTTATTATTATTATTTTTCATTGTTCTCTGCAGTTGAGTAATGGATTTGAAGATGATTTGCTGCAAGGCACAATGGAAAGATGTGGAGCTTAGCTGATTGTATTATGAATTAAAAGACGCGCTTGCTAGTTATTTTAAAAATGACTTGAGAAAATTGTTATTTTTTTTAGGTACAACGGAAATAACTTGAGAAACTTGTTGAAACTATTGCTGATATGACTTACCTATGCATATTTACTATGCAGTCTTGAGATATAGGATCCTTGTGTTTCTGATTTTGTGAATGTGTTTGTATCATAATATATATGTTCTTACTTCTTGTGTTGTGTAGATCTTTGTTATATTTTTTTAATTAACCTCCTAAGTCGTTGGAGATCCACTGATTATTTAATGTCGCTTCACTTGTTTGGAAGAATCATATCAATTCTTAAGAGATGATTCTATGCCTTCTTTGATTTTCAAATCTTTTATATTTTCTTCTTTATTTCATTAACCACCAGACACCATTTTGAGCCTTTATTTAACCTTTCTTGATGGAACACAATACCCAACGTATATTGAGATTTGTTGGGATTCATTTTTTAAAAGAAAAAGGATGAATAAGTTTCAAAATAAATAAATAAAATAAAATAAAAGAGAAAAAAAGAAGAAGAAGAAGAAGAGAAATCATTTTAAAAAATATGGTGAAGCTATGGAAGAAAAGAAGTGAATTATGCAATAATGGCCTTATTATATTTATTCATTCCAGTTATCTTCTAGATATTCAATTTTATTATCACTTTTACATTTTTTTACTTACCTTGACCCTTACATTACAACTGAATAAAAGTTCTATTTGATCTGTACAGTGATATGATTTGTACGTGGACATAATTGAAAAGGTGATGGTGTGGCAATTTTAAATTTTCAGTATTTGACATTCCTTTTATAAAACTATTTATTATTTATTATTAGCGTTTTTCAAAAATTTAATATGCAAGATATTTTAATTTTGACTTACATTATTCCACTTGCATATATATTGATAGTAATTTTGCACCTTATTTCGGAATGATTTGTTTGTCGAGTACAATATCCAGTGAGATTTGAATCAGATCATATTTCTTGAAGAAATTTGAATTAGATTCTACTTTGAGAATGAAATTGTGTTTGTGTAGAAGTGTTAGGAAAAAAAGAGTTGGAATGTTGTTTAAAAAATGAAAGGAGTAATAAGCAACTAGTTTCGGAGGTCAAGAATATCAGTAGTCAGTGGATATAAGCGTAGTTACCATGGTTGTGCACCTATTAGGGCGGCGTATATTCGCAGACGGTATGTGTAAAATATTCCCCGATACATTAAAAAGAATAAGAGGAGAGTAAGAAAGTTATAACTGTATGATGAACAAGTAAGGGACGTTACATTTGACAATAGAGGTGTGGCGAGATTGTTTAATGGGATTGAATTGGGAAATAAAATATATGACTGTCAATCGGAAAAAATCATAGTTAAAGGTATAAAATTAATTGGGAATGTTCAATTGGGACAAGACGCAAAAGAGGAAGCTATGGTGCATCACGTTCTGTCACGACCCAAACCCGCCCTATAGGTTTAGCATCGTAACCGACCAGTAATCCTTAGATTATCAAAGGCCTCTTAACAGAATAACATATAATAAGGGGCTGCAGAAGCAAATATACAAAATATACAATATCCATAGAGCTATGTTAACGTATATGAGATAGAAATCTTCAAAACAACTTATATATGTGTGTGTGTGTGTGTGTGACGTCATAAATACATGAGTCTTACGTCACCCAAGCACACAAATAATGCCAAAAGGGAACTTAGCCTAATATACAGATAAACAAAGCAAAGCAAAAACATCTGCAACAAGGTTACAAACTAAGCATTTCAAAAAGGACCTCCCCGGGAGGCACAATGGCTGGCTGACCCAAAACTCCAGGCAGCAGTTTAGGCTTGGTCACGCACCTGCTCACCTACACACATAATATAATAAAGTGACCGGAAGCCCAGTGAATAATAATAGAGTAAAGGGTTTAGATGAACGATGTCCCTAACAGATTCAAAAATCAGAATTCAAATAAAAAACAGATGTATATTCATATTCTTGTTCAAACTTTATATGGAAATCAGAATTCATGCTTAAACATACATGGTACATCCATTAGCGTTATCTTGCTTGTTAGTTCCATAAGGAACCTCCGGTACCGGGAACTTGTAATATACTTGAGCCACGGTATTGTTACCCCCGAGTAAGGGCCTTGTGCTAAGGATGCCACAAATACATTTTAGAAATTTGGACAATCATTCATTCATACAAAAATCGCAATTCAGAAAACTAATCATTTCATAGCATCAGAAAATAATTAAAGTTAAACATAACTTTACAGAGTTATTACTCACAGATGGCTCCACTTGCAGAACAGATAAATCAGATAACTTGTGGCGCGTGACCTACACAAACATAGCAGAAATACATAATGAAACACACACTCGGTTGGTACTTAACTTCTTTCATTTCATTCTTAGTGTGTTTCTAAGTCTTAGCCTCATATTGAGTCTTAAACATGGCCTAAAAATGCCTAGAATGCAATGTGAATGTCAAAATGCACTTTGGGACTCTTAACCAAACTTGTTAAAAACATGGGTCAGCTCGAGCCCAACTTCCCTCACTCGAGAACATGTGAGGGGCAGCTCGAGCGCATATTCCCTCGCTCAAACGGTCTGCAGACTTTGAAAAAGTACTGGTTGTGTGATTTTTACGCTCGACAAACGCTCAATGGTCGCTCGAGTGAGAGACTCAGGTTCTCGATCGAGCACAACTCTTGCCGCTCGAGTGGTCTACAAAAACATAAAACTTCTAGAAGCTTGCATTTCACGCTCGAGCGGACTTCTGGTTGCTCGAGCGGGTATGCAAAAACAAAGGTGGCCGCTCGAGCGCAGGATCTGTCGCTCGAGCGGAGAGGGCGAATTCTGGGATTTCCAGATTCACCTCCAAACTGCAAAACTCAAATGCGGTCACAACCCAAACCCGCCCCTATAGGTTTAGCATCGTAACCGGCCAGTAATCCAGGGATTACCGAAGGCCTCTGAGACAGAGCTGTGCAGACTTATATGAAACAAAAAAATTTTAAACTTTTTATATACATAGATACACATCATCCTTACGTCATTATATAGATACATATTAGAACAGAAAGGGACTTGGCCCTATTTACAAAATACACAAAGACTCGTTCAACCAAACAAAAAAACAAAAATTAAACTTTAAATCACATAACCATAGCCACTTGACATATCCAGAACCTCCACGGGAGGCACATAGATTGGCTGACAAAAAAACAAATTCCAAGCACACGCCTCTAAGTCTGGTCACACACATGATCACCTACATAAATAATACAGTGAGTTGGAGCCTAGTGAATAATAACAAGGTAAAGGGTTTTAATGAATAATGTTCATCACAGAGTTAGAAATCATAGTTTATATCAGAAACATATTTTATCGGAAACAGAGTCTTTTGCATATTCAGATTTCAAATTAGAAAGAGATTCAGATACATATTCATATTCATATTCAGATTTTGCATAAGATCATACGTGGTACACCCATTAGCTATCATATCAACTTGGTCTTGAGGCCCACATGTATAGTCGGTACCGACAACCATAAAGGTCCACATCTTGCGCGCAAGTAGCCATGGTATTGTTACCCCCAGGCAAGGGCCAC